ACAATGCTACATTAATAACTCCAGTGTTGTACATGAAAAATTGCTTGTTTTTTTCAGTAAGTGGGGAAAAAAGATGCTACAAATACATATACACAAACCTGTAATGTTAATGAAACTAGATTTTATAATAATTTATTGACCGTATTTTGTTTGGGTGGAGCATTTTTTTTTAACCCTAGCAATTATTAAAGATATGAGGTATATATATAGTGTATTTTTAAGTCAGAGTAGTCACAAGAATCCCTTTTGACTGCCTAGTGAGGTATCCACAAATGTCCAAGCAAGTTCATTCTGAGTTTAACTTCTGGAGTTCTTCTCAGTTCAAGAATTAAGTCAGTGCAGGACATACCTAGGCAGTTGTTGTGAGAAGTCAACAGGTGCACTGACAGACTGTGAGAAAGAAAACCACATATTTATATTTCATATTAGTGCTTAAACTTAGCAGAATAGCTTATAACCCAATTGTAATACCATTATGGTTCCCTGGAAGATGAAGCTTTTACATAGCATTTATCCAGTTGTATCAAGACACTTTAAGCATACTATTACAATCTTGGAAAGAAAAAGAGAAAAAAAAGATTTTTTCATGCACATGGCTTTTGTGGAATGCAGATGGTAAATGATAGACATAGTCCAGGAGTCTTGATCTGTAGTCATAGACCCACATGAAAACTTAAGGTAAAAGTAATGGTTTAGCAAAGCTACTTAAGGACATGATAATGTCTATAATATAAACACTTGCGAATGGGAACAAACCCAGTTGTGTAAATAAAACACAGGCAACATACTAAACCGATATACACTGCAAGTTACGCAAAACAAATGTCTTTAAATATAGTTGTGTGTATGTGTCTAATGCATTTGCAAAATCCTAAATCCACATTTTATTAAATATTTCAGGCATTATATTTTGGAGAGGCTACTGACAAGATTTTTATTATTAAAAATGGGGCCATAAGGAAACTTTTTCTACTCCTAAAATAATACTCTACTTCTGTTGTCTGTATAATAAGAAATAATTGCCTAAACTGATATTGTAGTCCGCAAAGAGTGAAGCATCTATAATCTCCCTGGGTTATTTGTTACATGTTTAGTCGCCCTTAAAACAGGGAGCTTCTCTAGTTTATTTCTGCTTTGCTGTAGATGAAACTCTTAGTTTCTTATCCTCCTAGAATGGATGTGGAAAATAGTCTTTTCTCATAATCTTTTACTGAATTTGTTTGCATGTATTTCCTTGATTTTTCTCTTCTGTTGGCTAACAAGCTCTTGCTGATTCCATCTTGTCTCATACATAATGTGTTTAAGACACATGGTTATATTTGTTGGTGATCCCTAGGCTTACTCCAGTTGCTCTTATCCTCCCTTTTATGTGAGTTAAGGTTTGCCAGGCAGATCAGCAAAGTAGAAATAATATTTAGATTTAATACGAACATTTGAAACAATAAGGAATAGTTCTGCCCATATCTGAGGAGAGAAAATAAGAAACATCCACTTATTTACAGTCCAATTTTTAAGTGTTGAATATAGATCTTAGCAGTGATCAGCATTCCTTATTAATTTTCTTCTTTCAATAGAAGGAGAAAAAACATGATGAAATGCATTGACGTGCCAAGGAATTTCAGATTTGTTTCTAGCAAAGCAATGTTCCCTCAGAAATGCTAACTTTGAAGGATAGAGGCGCAGATTTTTCTCTGTGCCTGGTGCCCTCATGTGGCTTTGATGTTCAGCTACATTTGCAAAATAATTAAATATATCGCTGCATGATTAATGTTTTGCTGTGTAAAACTTTGGAAATAATTTACCAGTATAACCTTGTATGTTCTTCTGTGAATATAGCATATTTAGGAGAGCCAGAATATACTGTTTGTCACATGGCCCTTTGGATTTGGATGTGCAAACTCTTCTAATTCCATAACTTACCCCAACAACTTTGGTGACATTTTTCACACAATGATGAATCACACAGTGATTCAGTCCTTTCTTTTTGAAGATTGGCATGGATGAAAAGATTGTGCTGGAGTTGCTACACCATGTAACTGAGCTAAAATATCAAGAATTACTTAAATCAGGGAAAATGGTTTAAAATTTTCTTTCTCCCCTAACTTAAAATCATCCAATTTTTGTTTCAGCTACAGCTATTGAAAGAAATTGATATATTTAGTACTATGAAGTGTGCACAGGATATTTATCTGCACACTGCTTCTGTGTCTAACTTTAGAATATTTCTACATAACTAATATAGAAATTGTACTTAACCAATTTAACCGCAAGCACTATATATATAACTAATTCATTACACATCCATAAATGTTTAAAATAAAAAAAAAACTCTGCTGGATTGGTTTGATGTGCTGGTCATCTTGGTTTGATGTGCTGGTCATCTTGTCTTCTGCTTTCTAAAAGGAGCTTGTGAGAGCTTTTCTTTGTGGCTGGAGTAGATAGATTTAGTAGGCACTAAAATTTTACACCAGTTCTCAAAGATTATCCATTTTTTTCTTAAACTACTTTGCAGAACTTTGAAACTGGAAATTTAATGTTGTCAGATGTTTTCAATCAAGTGGCCTAGGATAATTCTAATAAAAATTGAAAAAAAAATTATCATTAACAAAGGTATGGGGGAGTTTGAAAAGGAAAATGGATATAGATCTGAAGCTAAAGCAGCTGAAACCAGGCATGTACATTTTTGTTAGTGTGATTAACCAATGAAGGTATTTGTGCAAATACTAGAGTGGTATGAGTAGTATAGCCTTTTAATAAAGTCTGCCCAACAGTATTTCTTGAGAATAATGTGACTTGCAAATATCTCCATGAGCACTGGTTCCTCATTTTCTCTGTTTGTGAGGAGTGTGAATATAGTATGAGAAGGTGTCCTTGCAGAAGGTCTATGGGCTGCACACTGCTCAGTGAAGAGGGCTTGCATCACTGCAGTTTGATTCAAGAAGTAACACTTAATAAATAACACAGTATTTTTGTTATTTTGATCTTCAAGTTTCATTTTTATTAAGACAAAATAATTTAACAATATAAAGAGAAATATCAATGTAAAAACAACTCGTAGCTATATCATTTTTGTTCAGCTGTACCATTCTGAACTAAATGGTATTTTAGGTACTGTATATAAGTCAACAAATTATGCAATTTACAGGGCCTTGCAATCCAGTACTGTCAGTGCCATTGTCAGTGCTTCTGAATCTCTTAGCCCAGAACAAATACCCGTGTTGGCCGAGCTCTGAATACAAAGCTTCCTAACTCTAGCTGTTATTTCACTCTACCCCCTCTGTCTGTTGTATATGGAAATAAAATGGTAATTAACAGAATTCTCTTAATGTATAGTAAAAGACTAGGCCAGTTCACTGTAGTTCTGGACTACATATTAAATCACAACCCCCCAGAATTAGGGAAAGTGTACAGAGTTAATCTGTTATCTGAGCTATGAAGTTTTATCATTTGGTAAATGAGAAATGAAGTCAGAGAATAAAAATTCATAATTCTTTAAACTAATATTCCTGGATTTTTTCCCTGTATTTTTGATATCACTTGCTGTAATGCTACTGAAAATTTCCATGATCAGGAGAAATACTGTAATATTTTTAGAAAGGTGAAAGATATCCTTCATGGCTTATCGTACATTTTAAAAAATGTTTCCTAACTTTTTTTCCCACATTAGAATAGGGAATGGTAAATTACTTTGACTGTAATTTTTGTTTTCTCTAACAGTAAATTTACAAACATAATTTGAGGCTAAACATGAAGCTGTGTGTATGAACATCTGTAGGAGTGACCACATCTTTGTAACACATCTGAAAATACAGTAACTCTTACATGGCACTTAGTACTTGGTTTTACCTCTGTTAGCTGTTTCAGTAGCTTTTTTTATACACATGTATTTTTCTAATATGCTTATGTATTCTGCTAGATCTCAATTCTGAATACCCCATAAAGCAACCCATAAAATCCTGCCTATGATTCACAATATAAAAACTGGTAAAAATTTAAGTACAAAATTTGAATACATTGTAGAAGGGGAGTGGCTTTAATGTTTATCAGTTTAATCAAGTGAATATATTTGGTCAAATTAAGCTTTATCTAATTGTTTATCCACATAGAAACTGGTGGATTTTAGATTTTGTAGCACAAAACTTTTTGTTTAAAAAAAAGTATGAAAAGAAAACCTATGCTATATAGCTTCTTCCCTTTGATTAAAAAAAGTGTAACTGCATTAAGATTAAAAAAAAAAAAAATTCAAGATTAATTTATTGGAGCACAATCTGATGAATATAATGAGAAAATCTTTGTAAGAAATTTTACTACAGGGAAATATTAACAACCAAATTCCATAATCTCCAATAGAACTAAGGAATTAAATACGTGACTCGATCTTGGCATAAAAGACACAAAACACAAAGTAAGGCATGCTTGTGTAATTGGTCACAAAGAAGCATTAACGTTTGTGCAGCACAGAAAAAGACTGGCATTTTTGCAGACTCTTCCAATATCACAGACACCTAAGGAACACATCTTTCCCTTAATGCCAGTGTATCCCTCCCTGTACACTTTTAGGCAGTGACCACCTAAAAGAGGAGAGGAAAATGCATCCATACCCTTCTAGGAAATCTTACATATTGAAGAAGCTGTTGCTATAGTTGTTAGTAAATGAATACACAACAGCTTTTTAATAATAAAATCACTACCATCTAGCACTTATGGGCTTTATATAAGACCAATAAGAGTTAACAGTACTGGAAACCTCTCATAAATTCAGGTTGACCATGTGCATTTAAATGGGTGAAGCCAGCTCACACTTTGTTTCAAATTAGCTTTTTAAAAATGTCTGAGTCCTTGCAAGAGAGGACTGTCCTCAGAAGAGAATGCTGCCTAATGCACTGAGGAATGGCTTTTCTGCTCTAAAGGTACTTTAAAAATGTAGATCAAATTCCCATGGCTTTTTTTTTTTTTCTGGTGGAATGGACTGTCCTTGAAGCATCGTAGCGAACTATTTGCTATATTTCTATAATAAGCCTATCTTCATCATCACTGCTAGTGTCATCATATTCAACTCTGGTTTGCTTCCTCATAATCTCTAAACCTCTCTTTTTGTATGTCTTGGAAGGTGTTGCAGAGTAAGTCTGGAACTCGGGGAACCTGAGAGTAATCGAGGGCTTTTTAAAGGTAGCAGTATTTTTTTCATGTGGCCTTTCATAGTTATCTGACTGCAGGTAGGCTCCATTATTGTCTGTATTTCCATGAAGGACTTTCTGAGAAAAGTTTGCCTGCTCTGTGTATTCTGTGTTGAGTAAGTTAGCCCTTGCGCTTGACTCAAAAAGAGAATCTGCTTTTGATCGTAATGTATGTGAACATCCAGGTTGGGAACTGGCAGTTGAGTTTTCTTTTTGAGAGGAATATCTAATTTCTTCAGTTGAACATTTCTCCCTTCCTGAGGCCTGGATCACTAGGCTCTCTGACACTACTTTTAACGTGTTTCCTTGGGTTGCCTCTTGATATAAGGAAAGAGGATCAGTAGTCTCTGAGCATCTGTTGTCAGTCTGCCCATCTGTGCCTGTATTTGGAAAATCAAAAGGATAAGACCCAAAAGAAGATGTTACCGAGTCAGTCTGAGGATTTGGCTGTGACTCCCCTGGCACGGATGGCTGAAGCAGAAGTGGTTGTGTCACTAAACAGCAAATTTCTACGTCATTGCTGACTTGCTGCATGGCAGTGCTTACTGTGGATGAAAAGGAATGAGCTGTCACAGATATCTCCAAAGGAGGTGTAATGTTCTGAAAAGAGAAGTTTGTTCTTCTGTGTTCCCTGATTTGCTCAGAAGTGTCCTGCAGAAGTTAGAAGGAAAAAAAAAATAATGTCAATCCAGAGCATTTCCATGGTTTGCAAAAAGAATAATTAAGTTGACTGTATCAGTATAAAACTTTTACTTCTGCTATAATTCATATTGTCTACCTAATTAGGAATATTGACATTTATTTAGACAACTTGTGTGTGTATATACATATATACATGCACACACACTCATGTAATATATGTTGCAAAGATGCATATGCAATGTAGCCAAAAAGGTCTGGATAAGTCTGCAAGCAATATGGCAATATCCAACATGGTGAGATAATTTTGCAAAGAACATCATAAGAGCTAAGTTCCTAAATATGATCCTGCTTATGTTACACAGTGAACCACTGCTTATGCTACCTGGGAACCTAAAAGCCATCTACCTCATTAGCTTCTTTTTCTGAGCCTGGCTGGTGGAAGTCTAGAGAAAAGTAAGAGCAAGCTGAGCAGGGGATATTCTCCCAGAAGCTGTGCTGACGCTGCATACAAAAGCAGTTTGCTGCACATGCAGACACATGGAAGGCCCAGACACTACAGTACCACAGGCTTCCACAGAGGGGACACGGAGCGTGTCCGCAGCTGAAGCGCGCACTTGCACTGCTGCCCAGCCAGGCACCCCCTTCCTTCTGCCGCCTAACTGCCTGGCTCCGCGTGCTCCCTGCTACATCTCCTGGCACCTCCAACAGCAGTGCCAACCTGTCCTCTGAAAGCAAGCATAGGAGATAGCCATTCAAATCGTACACATTTAGCTGTTCTTAATATATATATAAATATATATATATATATAAAACATTAGTAACTTTCATTGTATTTTAGCCTCAAAAATATCATTAAAACATTTTTAAACAAAAACTGTGTTGCAGAAGAAGTAAATAAAAATTCAGCTTTAAAACAGCTGAGTAAAACTGAAGTTGTAATTAGCTTTTTTTTTTTTCATAATAAGCAATCATGCACAATTAAGGTAGAATACATACTTTTTTATCCATTTTGTCTTTTTGCTTATCATGGATTAGATTTTCAATATGCGAAACTATTCCTGAGTTATTCTTTTCTTCTTTCTTTCTTCTGCAAAGTGGCTCATCTGAGGTGGAACAAGATGCTCCTTTTTGCTGGTGGAGGAGATTACCTGTAGAAAAGAGGTTTGGAGAAACTTTTATTGTCATGTTTACTCCACTGATATACTAGAATTTACTAAGCTTCTCATCGTATCACTTAACTAACTTCCATGTATTTATTATTTCATGTACCTTTCTCTTTTCAACCTGATAGTTCATCTTGGTTAATGTGTATGTGGCATTACTACCAGATTGTGGAATACAGACAACAGCAAACAAACAAACCTCTGACTCTTCTTGCAGTAGGAAGAGAAAACTAGCAAGATATATTGATGCAAGTCAAGGAATTGATAGAAAGTTACTGAATTACATGTGGGAAATTCCCAGGTGCACTGGCATATGGCATTGATAAATAAAACTGCTAAAAATCTGCCACTTGATATGCATCTGCTTTTCTGAACAACACAAAGTCCATGGCAGCTCTTCACAGATAATGTTATATATCTAAACTCAATGTTAGAACAAGAGCAATTAGGAAAAGGGGATATAAGCAGAAGTAGGAAGACAGGACTAAAATTTCTCAGCAAATTAATGTTTTCTTCATTTTACTGGTAGCGTTAGCCTATGCTAGCAGTCAGTAGGCCAGCTTTCTATTCATCATTAAGAGTAAAATGTAGTGTCTGAGTATTAATTATATTATAGCAAAGACATGTCTTTAGTTTTCTAGCTTGCCTAAAAGCAGATTAGAGAACTGAATTCTCAGGGGTTTGAAACATAATTACTGAGATAACCTGTGCGGATCCTAATATTCGACCAGTCTGTGACAAATGTGAATAAGAATGCAATCAGAAGCATTCAGATGAATTACATAAATATGCTTTAGTTAAATTGAAGAGAATACAATATGTCATCATGATCCTGTCTAAAGGGTGATTTAAGTGATTTAAAGTTAACTTAGTTGTATTTACAGATTCAGACAAAGGAAGCAGCTAAGATGCAAAGTTTGAAAATGTGACATCTGTTTCCTCATTGTCATTATTTATGATAAAAGCGCTTTCCACATATTTCAGGATATACAGGCAGAAGGGCAACTGCAGTTGAATGGGGTGATCCTGAGACAACGTGTGTTGCTGGTGCAGAATAAATTCATATAATGTCCTATTCCTTTTTCTCTCTATTTAAACAACAGCAGAACATAAGCTCAGGGACTGTTGGCTGTTTCAGATTAGCGTTTGTTAATACACAAATGTAGAGGAACATGAGCATAAACTATCAGTGAGAAAGTGCAGAGCTTTTTGCAGTGGATGTATGTTGTAACAGTGTCCCTTGTAAGTGCTTGAAGCAAAGAGGAGGTGAAAATGTTAGAATGTAATTCTCATATCTAACTGCTTTTACAGTAAATACTTACCTTGTGACTTTGATTGAGGAGAACAAGACTTTTTACACTGACTGAATTTACAGGGTTGTGATGGATAACCCTTTTTCAAAACATCCAGTGTTCTCTGTGGAAAGCAGTGTTGCTTGCTTAGTCGGTTCATTTTCAACTGAGCGTATCCATGTATGTGCCTCCTTCGGTACCTGTGTTGCAAATAGCATTTTTCGCAGTAAAAAGGGAAACAGACACACATTATGTAAAAGCAATTAGAGTAAAATAATACCACAGCATTAGGCGAATTTAAGTCTAACACGAACTTGCTACTAGGAAGGAGATCTTACAATACATTTAATAATTAACAGTTTGGCCAATTAGCTACCTAATACATGATCTGGACTTTCTGGTTCCTGTACCTATGTGATATAGCCAAATGTATCAGTCTTGAGACCAACAGGAAAAAGAAAAAAAAAAGAAAGAAAGAATAAACCTAGAAAATGAAACTAGACTGTTTGGATAACACACATGGAAGTCTTCTGATGTTGTTGTTCTGATCCTTCAAAACTGCAGTGTCAGTTGCTAGACTACACTCTGTGATTAAGTTACAGCTACTTATGTGTTCACAAGGGAATAATTCGGTCTGGTTTTGGTCATGAACTAGAATAAGAAGGATGTATGCATACAATATATGTTTCTTATTAAAACAATTCATCAGACATTCTGCTACCTCACACTCTTGAAAGATTAAAGGCTAAATCTTCCACTGATATGAACTCCCATTAAAGTCAGAGGAACTTGCTGATTGATGCAATGGGCCTTTGATAGTTTTATACTCCAGTTCTTCCTGCTTTTCATTTAAACTGAATGATCCTTTAAACTGCAGCTGCTTTCATTAGTGTTACAACTTGATATTTATTCTTTGCATTCTCTTGTGAATACATGTTCAAGATATGTATCTACTGAGGACAAAAGGGTCTTACATGTTGCCTTTCACTGTAGTGGAGTTGCAGTATTTTGGATCCCTTCAAACACAAGCAAATACTCATAATTTTGACAGAAAATAATCATTTCTAAGCCACAGTGAGAGTCAGCTGACCAGTCATCTTCCTTTGGTACTCATCTGTTTTGCTTAGAAAAGTCAGTTACTGATAGTAAAGAGTATATTAATATTTTTGATAATTTACCTTTATAGAACTGCTGCAGTATAGGAATAGCTCAGAGAGATTTATTTTTCTCTCAGGTTTGACAGGTTGAATTTTGGGGATGTCTTTCTATTTTATGTAGATTTTATTTTACCTGTTGTAGCAAAATGCTGTCTGTATCCAGTGAAGTTGAAAATTATAGTCCTTACCATTTGGGGGTGACTTTAATTTTTTTCTGTTTGTGGCTCTTCTTGAGTTTGTTTGTTGTGAGTTTTTCCCTTTTGCAAACTACTGTTTTCTTCTTTTGCTTTGAAATATTTTCAAAAGCACCAGAAGGAGCTGCTGAACTTAACTGTTTAGAATATTAGGAGAAAAATTAATAAATAAAGCAAAAAGCACAGAAAAGTCCTGAATTACATTCAGATATTAGAAATCTGTATCATTGTTAAAAAGAATAGGTCCTGAGCTACCCTGTTTTTTTCCTAGAATTTGTTATTTTTTTCTAATAACTCTATTATTATAAAATTAAATTAAACCAACCCAAAGAAAACCACGAGCTCCGATACATAGTCTGTATTCCAGTTTGCATGTACATTAAATATCTCCAAGTATAACAGATACTTGATCTTAACTGTCTCCAAAGTTCTATCTATGCAAATACTAATTTTAAATGAAAGCAAGTGAAATAAATATCTTGTGTCAAAACAGCACAAAAAATACCCCAAGGGGAAAATTTAAGAAACGGAAATTACACTTTTCTAGCTAAATAGTATTCTTACTTAAATTCTCAAGCAAAAGAAACTTAAACACTCCCACAAAAGTATGCTCATGTACCAAATGACTGGATTATTAGCTCTATAAAATCTCACTTGTAAACTCTCTACCCAACAAATGCCTGTATATGGCCAGAATATATTTTTTATATTACTAATTATACTTTATTCAGAAAGGGAATAGCATTAATCATGTTACCTCCTGTATCTGTTGTCCTTTAGAAAACGATGAAACCAGTGTCTTTAAACTCCTGTTTGTTAAGCTATAGGCCACAGTCTTGCTAATATTTTTCATTTTGAAAAAAGAAATATCATATGTTGATAGCATGCATTCATTGCTAGATTCCTTGTCACAGATGTGCAAGGAGGAGTAAGCAGAATCTGCATTGCCTTTCTGCTCAGCAGGCAGAGGAAGGCTCCTCGTTAAACAACACCAAGTCAGTCGTGGTTCAGCATTTAGTGATGGGAAGGTGCTCTTTGTGCTCGATACTGTTAAACTTCCAGAGTAGCAAAGCAAATTATTGTGAGGAAGTGCTGGGAGTTCTCTACAGTGAGTAGTGAGACTGTGGCAATAAAAAGTGCCAAAAGAATGGCAAAAATAAGTAGAGTTGTCTGTTGGGCTCTGAGAAGACTCCCCATCCTGCAGTGCTGGTGAAATGTCCCCAGGAAGGCATGGACTTTCATCTGTGCCACATCCCAGGGCTGTTTGCCCTAGGGTCTGGCTAGAAGCTGTCCTTTGGCTTGACGTCATCACCGAAGAGTTGCTGCCTGAGCAAAGGTGATGTAAAACCCGCTTTTCTTCTTTGATGTCTGCTGATATGAAAAAACCACTTGTATACATAGAAGTAAAACATATTTTCTTCTTCGAGGCCTGTGCAGATGAAGTAGTTACACTCATCCACTTGTCTTCAGTTTGCCTTTGATAATTAGATTTATTTTTCTTGTACTCGTTTTTCCAAGCATCTTTTATCATTTCTTTCTGTCTGAAGTTTTGGTTATAGAAGGTGTTGCCTACTGTGGTTAAGATACTTGTGGTTTCTGAGTTGATTGGTGAACAAAATTCTGGAGATTTCCAGTTTGCATGTACATTCCAGCGTAGCTCTCCTCTGCTGGCCTTTTGTCTCACTTCAAATTTTAAAGGAGACCAAAACACATCAGTAGGATCAGCAGCGAGTGCTCTGCTGCTGGAAGAACTGGGTGGGCTGGTTAGGGTGTCTGTCACAGACGCAGATGATATAACCTTCTCTTCTGATCTAAGCACAAGTGACAGATCTGAGCATCTCTTGTCTTGTGGCAATTTAAGAATATATTTTGGAGAAAAGGTATTTTTCTGAGAGACTGGAGTTAACTGACCAGATTGTAAATGATGAATTTTGGCAGGTAGGTCATCAACATTGTCACTGAAAAGTGGTACTTTTGTTTTCACAAGACCTGTTTTGACATCTGCATCTGTTGCGCTATGCAAGGCAAAAGAATTGCAATCACTTCCCCTTGACTCGGGCCCCAGAAATCCAGCAAATGAAGCTGTTGATATCTTTGCTGATTCTGAAAGGTCACTGTCACTATAGTGAGCAGCTTTTGTGAGCAATCCAGGTGTTTTCATACACTCTTCACTCTCAGCACCTCCAGAAGACATTAGTTTTTGCTCATCTGTTTTACCTGAGAGTTTCACTGGTGCTGTGGAAGGAGACTGAGCAATACTGCAGGAGACTCCTTCTATTTCATCTGCTCCAGGCTTTTCACTACTGGACCTGGAACAGGCCTTTAAAATAATGTTTTCCTTCCTTTCCACTTCCACTTTCAGCTTTTTTCTTTCTGATGGTAAGATGTGAGATTTCCCTGAGGCTTCTCTATTGCTCTTGCAATGGACCCAGAGGGATGGCGGGGAGTGCTGGCCAGTTTCCTTATTCCTTTGATGCTTTCCGTAATTGTTTGAAGTGGTGCTACACTCCGATTCAAACGCACTGGCTTCTTTCCCGAATTCTTTTGAATCTTCCCAATTGCTACTCCGTGTGGGCAAGCAGTCATCATTGGTTACGCTGGTGTTCGGTTGACACGGTGCATTTCGAAGCGTGAGCTCATGACTGCTTAGTGCCTGCAATGTGCTGTTGTCACCTGTGTTTTTAGCTGTGTCACTGCCACTGAGGTTTTGGGAAGCTTTGCTTGGTACTACATGTGCCCCAGCGTTTACTGAATGTGACGTTTCCATTACCTGGGTTAAACTGTCTGCAGCTTCCTCTGAGGGCATGTTCTGTAGAACATGGTTACCATCAGGACAGGTTCCTGACTTAAAAGTATTTAAATCTGCTGCCACAGGGGAGGAAAGACTGTCACTTAAAGAGCTCCTGCCTTCTTTTTCCTGGGTAATTTCAGTACCACTGACTGATTCATTTGAATCAGCCGCAAAGCTTGTAATATCTGCAATCTTATTCCCCCTTTGTTTCATTTTCTTGGCATTTTGATTGCTTTTCATTTTTTGGTAGATTTTCTTAAACGTTTCATCTCCATACATCTGCCATTTTTCTTCAGAGAACATCTTTATCTTCCTCTGATTTTGTTTCTTATTTCTGGCACTTACTACCTCTGCAGCCCCAAGCTTTTTACTTGCTTGCACCTCCTCAGAGGGACAGGGATTCTCAGCGCTGTTACTGAGTGGCAGATCCTCCACAGCCGTTTGCCTGACAAGCGCTCGGGGATGGCTGTTAGGAAAATCCATGGACTTTGCAGCAAGATTGTTGCTAGGCAGCAAGCTAGAAGAGCTCGGGTTTACAGACCGCTTAGTAAGAGCGAGTGGGTTTGAGCAACCTGCTTTGTCATGTGCCGATCTGGTGCCCTCCACAACCGGCAGAGAGTTGCTTCTGGTTACGGGCACAGAGTCTACTGTCGTGGAGAACTGTGTGGGAACTGAGTGGAAAAGCAATGGCCTGCATTTTTCTAGGGGTGTAAAAGTAGATTTTGCTGAGCACAGGGAAAGATTCTTTCTCCTATTTGCATCAAAAGTTCTGATGTCAAAATGGAAGGAGTCTTTGTATGTATAAGACATTGGCAGATCAATGCTTCCCTGCTTGGAAAGGACAGTTTTTCTGGGCCTAACGTTATCTAAGTGGCTATCATCCACCACACTCTTGTTATGAGAAATAAGTTTTGAGATGTGTTCTTCCAGCCTTTTTTTCTCTAGCATCAAGGCGGAGGCTTTCTGGGCTGAATCGAGCTTTGCACTGCTTCCGGCTGTGCACCTTGAGCTGCTGAAGGCAGTTTCATTTTCCAGTTCAGTGCTGTGTTCATAGAGACTGTGCAAGGGACTGGGCGAGGGCATCTGTTGCTCTGTGCTATCAGAGCGTGACAGATACCCCGAGTCAGTGCTCTCACACTTCTTCAGCTTGCAGTCAGATGGCTTGTAATCCCACTGCTTGTCCGAAGAGGTTGCTTGCTGCCTTTGCAGCTGGATATGCTTACTGGCAGCTGGAGTCCTTTGTTCCTGTATCATCTTCCTCTGGTGCTGCAGAGCTACTGGAGATGATAAAGACTCTTTTTCAGGAACCTCCTGATTAATCTTTGAACTAAAGGATTGATTATTTCTCATTTGATTTCCTGAAGCAAACGATGAATCGCTTGTTTCTGGCAGTGGAAATTCATTAAATTTCTTAGTGTCTTTTACAACACTTGTCTCTGAATTTACTTGTTTAATCTTCACCCCCTCATCTTCACAGGTGCTGCTATCTAGTCTAGAGCCCTGATGTGATGTGACACTCTCTGTTGCTTTCTCATTTTGCTCCGATGTGCCACCATTGTCAGAGTCCGAGGGCAGTCTGGTATTGTTAACGTGTGTTTGAGTCCGTCTGTGTTTATACAAATTACTTTGAGTTTTAAATGCAATACCACAAGTGGTGCATGGAAAGGGCCTCTCTCCTGTGTGAGAGCGAATATGTTTCTCAAGGACACTTGGCTTCAAACAATCCCGACCACAGTGTTTACAGATATATTTCCCAGTATTTTTTGATTTTCCTGGGTTTCCAACAGATGCATTTGCACAAGCATTTGGTGACAATAAAACTGGCAAAGTGCTGACTATGTTTAATGTTAAAGTTTGCCCGAGTTGTTTTTGAAAAACTGATTGATGCTGATCTGTCCTTTCTGAAGGAACAAGTGGATTCAGGATTAGAGGTATGTTATTGCCGTCTAGATTCACACAGCTTCTGCCAGGCACGGCCTGACTGCTGGGCCGAAAGCATCCCGGCTGCACGGGCTGGTAGAGCGGGATGGTGAGGGCCTTCACGTACACAGGCTGGGCCAGCGCGTGTTCCTGCTCAGGGGCCGCACGGCTCAGACTGAGAGCTGCAGAAGCCTGGGCAGGCTGGAGAGATGAGCTGGGAACTGGCTGGGAACTGGCAGCCGTAAAGCAGGAACGCTTCTGGGCCTCCATTTCCAAGATAATTTAGCATATATTCATGTATCTGTAGGAAACAAAAATATTTCACTGTCTAAAAATCCTGTAGCCTTGGAAAGTTAAAATTTAAGGGATTAGTTAGATTCATTGCTGTTAACATATAAACACAGAACAATTTAGGTTGGAAGTAAAATCGCATGAGCTTGCTCAGGTTTTTACTGTGTCTGGTTTAGAAAGAAAGTTGAAAATAAAGACTGCACAAACAGTTCAGACAACCTTTTGCAAACTCACAATATTATGCACGGCTGTATATAATCCGTGTCCCAGTTTAAGTAACCTCAGACTGAACACACTGCCGCAATGATGTAGAATGAATATGTGGAAACAAAATTAAACTCATGTCCTGTTTCACTAGTGAGATTCATGGCAATACATACTAACCAGAACAGATGGTATCCTAATAAAATAGTGGGATAATTCAAGGCTGATTTTGTATGTTAACCTCAATTTATTTTGCCTAAATAAGGGAATGGCATACATGCCGTACTGTTTATTTTTAGATATTTTCAATCCCAGCTTGAAACAATTTGTAGGTGCAGTTTTTGGGAGAAGTGAAGCCATTCTTACAAAAATTTGTCCATATATAGTCAGGTTTGGGGCTCATTTAGATGACTTTTTTATTTTAGCAAAATGTTATATAGTTTTTTTGTTTTGTTTTTTTTCTCCCTAAGAAACTATCAAAATAAGATAGCCAAAATTATTTTAAAAAGAGATGATAGAGACATCTGCATCTCTTGTAATTATAGTTTGTGTGAAAATTGGAAGGCAATCTGTTAATATTTGTTCAAATTTTTATTTGGCTATACTCACAACTCTAGCAGTTATGAATAATAGCTTGTTCTTGTACAAAAAGTTGCAGAAAGCACATTTGAAGTAGTATGATCAGTGGCTGAATGCTGAAATAAGCAAATTTCTGTCTCACTACATAATGCAGTTATGAATAATAGCTTGTTCTTGTGCAAACAGTTGCAGAAAGCACATTTGAAGTAATATGATCAGTGGCTAAATGCTGAAATAAGAAAATTTCTGTCTCACTACATAACCAAGCATGGAGTTTCTATTCCCTTCTTGAATCATGTAAACCGTTACTGGAAACGGTAAAACTTTCCTCAAAAGTGTTGTTTGAAACTTGACTATATGTCACGTGACACATATCCTATGTAGATCCTGTTACCATTATTTAAAACAATATCTCTGCTATATATAGTTATTAAAGAATCTTCTGATAAAAAGAGATTTTTGCAGATAAACCACATAAAGGAGAAATGGCAATCCCAACAAAATTATTTTTTTTAAACACTCCTCAGTTACAGCTGAAGCAGCTGGTAATGCAAAAATCCAAGAGAAGTCAGAGTCTGTCTGTGCAGAAGTGCAACAACAAGCCTGCTGATGATCCACTGAAGTAACAGAGAAGTTTGCCACCAGCTGCAGCGAGCTCTGGGTTGGACCATTTATGAAATAAGTATCACTGCCTCATGGGCTTCACTTTTTTCACTCAAAGATCTTAATTATCTGTAATCCCAGAAAACACAACCTGCAAAATGAACAGATCGACGAACAGCAATGTGTCATGTTTTACCTCTTCCCTTCTTTCTCACGGATTTTATAAATTCAACTCAGTTTATTTTTTCTTGTCCACTTTATAGAGATTTCCACATGGAACAATGACTTAAGTGGCTTTCTAATATAGGTACTGACTACATTGATAAAAGAATGTTAAAAGAATATGGCTTATAAAAGGAATTAAGTCATTATCCTTACTGTGCAATGTGCTTAGCACTACAGGATTAAAGTGGATTTCTCTAATTTGCAAAATGAAACTATGGGTAATTCAAGCCCATTTAAGCTTGACCATTTAAGCTTTAACCATTTCCATAGTCACCTTTATAGCTACCAATTTAGCTACTGTAAATTGGAGTCATAGGTAGATATTATGATAAAAGGAATACTAGAAATACCAGGCAGTATAGGGACATAGAGCATAATATTTGCAGAAAAACACATGTAATAGCATGCATAATTTATCTGCACAGCACAGATAATTTGCAATTGTGTTTACAATAATAACAGGAACAAGTGATAAGACATGAGACAAGGGTACTCATAAAGTAATCATGCTCTTGTTTTCCAAATAACAAAAAGTGAGGAAAAAAGGCATGTTCAGGAGATACAATGCAAAGAGGGCAAGGGAATACTATGTACTAAGAGCATCTAACAACTAAACTACAACTGACCAAAGACATCAGAGGGGAAAAAAATAAAAAAGGCCTCCCCTGGCTCCCCTCCTTCCTCTGGAAAAGCATGGAAATGATTAATTCTATTTTAACCACAATAAGCTTGCTGCACTGTCACAAAGCACGTACTCGCTTTCAACATCCACTTTGTATTGGTAGCTGATGGGTACTTCAAGGCCAGCCTGCAAGTTAGTAAGACTTACATGGACATGGACAGATGTTTTTAATATGAATCCTGTAGCTCCAAAGATTCAGCATATCTGTGTAATTTCACATACACCATTAACATTTCTGAGGCCCAAAATTTCAGTACAATCTTCAGAATAGTTTCAGTGCTGTGTAATGCAGTGCTCAATCCCCTCGCAATACAGGTCTAGATGCAATACAGTTCATTTATTTTTGTAACCAAACAGAAGCAGCTTTTTGATACTCTGAGCATAAGTAATTTACTATATTTTACTAAAAGTTTTTTGTCTTTTTTTAAAAGCTTTTCGTTATTCCCACCTCAAATAAAATATTCTAGGGCATACAGAAGAGGAATCCTTTTTTGTCTATAAATTCAGTTTACATACCTTTTATTGAGCCAGCCGTTTCAGTAAAAGAAGTCTCATGTCTGTCAGTACCTGATGCAAGCAGAGAGAGAAACAAGGGCAAGGACTTAAAAGCTCAGAAGTAGGAAGTTGTTCTTCTTTTTTACCTTGTGTCATAGTAACAACCTCTTCCTCCTGAAAACAGGAAGAAATAAAAACTGAAGAAAATGAAGCAGCATTTCAATTTCTTCTTTGCATTTAGCATTATTCGTGCAGCAATCTATAAACAGAGCCAATTATCTGAAATGCAGGCATTTTGTACACTGCCTTATTAATTGCATGATTCACTGAAATACACTGAGGTGATACAGAAATACTCTGTTTACACACCTTGACGAAATTTGCTTGTAACTTTATAAAATACAGAGTAAATATATCTCTTAAAACATGTTGGAAAAGAAGACAATGGAGGTGAGAAGATCCTCGCTAGTTATGAAATGCTAAACTTTTCCCCATGAGGTGCCTTGCAAAGGGGTAGAAAGCAATGACCAGGAGGCCAAATGCTTCAACAATCCTAGAGAAAAGTGTTTAGGTCATTCTTAACATATGTCCCCTGGATTTGTGAAAAGCTGTGGAAAACAGGCTAACACACTGACAAGAGAAGTGAAAAGATCACTGTAAGAGCTGAAACCATGTGAGTTGACTTGTTAAAGCTTCCTCAAACAAGAAATACAGCACAGCCCAGATGTTCCTGTTGCAGGACGGTTGTTCTTTATGCATAACACTTTTAACGTATTGATTGAAATTTCTGACCCCTACACTGCATTTAGACTGAGTAAATGCTAGATCAGAATATGCAAAATTCATTCTACATAATTTTACAAAATCAGCATATCTGGCATGTAGAAGTTCCCCAGGAACATTTGGGAAAATGTTACTTTTAATCTGGTTATGAAGAAGACCCTTTTACTGAGAAAATGATTCTTCTATGTAATATAATAAAGTAATTGTTGACTACAGGGAAAGGAAATTCTGGAGATTTCTACACCTCAGTTCAAACTAGCAAACAGACCTGAGATATTTTCTGATTAGCCCTAAAATGATGGTTAGTCTTGTTTTATTTTAAAACTATTTCTGCCTTTACTGTTTTCTCAGTTTGACTTTGTATCTTGTAGTGCCTCATAACAGAAGTACTGACTTCACATTTTCACTTGTCCTTAAGGGATCTGATCTTAGAAGACTGCAAGTTCTGCCAGCAGTGTGCAGACTTCTCATAACTTTTCAACCAATGCTGGGAACTTCAGTCCCTTGCAGGACCAGGATGAAAATGTGTAATTCCCTAATTTTCTGAAACCCTAATACACTTTAAATGATACTATTTCTTGCTCAAATTCTGACTTTGGAAAATTCTGCTGCTTGCTGTGAAATCATTGTTTGTGAAGCTTTTCTCTGCTTCATCTTTTACACAAGCACAAAGCCTCTAGGAAGCAAACTTACCAAGCTTTGAAGTTCTGGCACTGGATCCTATTTGGACAAATATTTGTGATATTATACTTCCATCATTTTGTGTTATATCAGCTAATTTTTTTGTTCATTTTTTTGTGTTTACCAGAATATAGTATTAAAATCCTTAAGGAGCCATGATAGGACAAATTAATATAATATCCCATGCAATTTAGCAGCTGATCTTAATGCTTTCTAGAACCTTTCATTCATTCCAAAACAGCACCAGCTGTGTTTTATTATATCGGTAAGTGAAAATATCCAAATGCCTTAACATCAGTAAGAACACTGTTAGCTAAAATATATTCTAGTGTACAATTACAACATTGTTTTGGCCCTTTTGAAATCTTAATGCTTTTTGTATAATTTCCTATTCTACTTCTTCTACTGCTATTCTTCTCAGCTCCAGTCCTAAGAAATGCTTTATTTTAAATTTACATCTCTTCATTCTAAAGAGATATGTACCCAGCATCTGTTATTTTTGTAACACTGTTGGTGGTTTCACAGTTAGAAAAATAGAATTGTTAATGCTTAAAACATTTAAAAATCTCAAAAAAATCAAAATTTAAAAATCTCAATCTCTCATTCTTTTGTCCTTTCACCAAACTTGCTCCTGTGCATTTCCCTTGTTAGGAAAGAGTTAACAATCTCCAGCAGTCTGTAATCAACAGGTTGCACTAACAGAAAAATAATAACCACTATCCATCTT